ATTATTGAATCTTTGAATAGTAGTGTTCAGACGCTAAGAATCAGATTAATGGTAATTAGAAATTAAATTAAAATATTGAATCTTTGGATGGTAGTATTAGAACTCTAGGAATCGAAACCAGTATTAAATTCTAATTAGTATTAAATCGATAGCGATCAGAACTAATTGAATTATTAAACCTTTGATTACCACGAGGAATTGAAATTATTATCAAGACCAATTATATTAGTATAAATCATACAAAGCTGCAAGGTCTTCTCACCATAGCAACAGAAAAGATCTCCTAATGAAAGATCGTAAGTTCATTAAATTGGATCATAGGCCAATTAATAATTAATAATATAATTAATAACACGAAGCGGTATTGGTTCGACTTTGATTGGATCCAAAGGACAGATATATCTCTATATCCATTTTATTAATTCGATTGAATCTTCGTCGATATTCATCGAACTGTGCTTCCTTTTGGAGAATAGAGGTATTCGGGTAAATAAAAAGCGTTCCGTGCTTTCATTAAACTTCTGATGAAAACTGAAGTACCTCTCCACCCTTCCCTTGAAAAGTTATCTTACCTTTCTTCTACGCGCTCTCATTATCACCGAACAAATCAATTGTTATTGAAAACGAAAGAAACCATTCTTTCTTACGCGTGGAAATATAATATTTAAAAGGAGGAACAAGGATTTCAATAGGGAATTGTAAGCGTGCAGTCGTTGCCATCTGATTAGTGTCGTGGAGTGGTGTGACGTAGGCCAAGTTAAGGACCGATACCGCTTGTATATTTTCCAAAGATCGGTCCATGGAAAAACCTATGGACGCTCCCCACTTTTGGGGGTGCAAGGCGATCGCTGACTTTGCAAGTTCAGTTCGATCCTGCACTCTGAAGAGTAAACACTAGAAAACACACGTCATTCTCGAAACAGTCTTTGAGTTAATTTCTAAGATTCCTCAAAGAACTCTGTCTCTACAGAATCTTGAAATTTATTGAAAATTTCTCATGGCCACACGATGTTACATACAGGGTGACATAATTAATGTGGAATTGTTTTTAATTGGAACAGAGATTAATTACATAGCGACACTAAACTAAGGGTTTTTTTGTACTGGTAGTATATTGATCTGGTATTGATTCCCACTAGTAAGTGTTATTAAAATTTATTGGAAACTTCTTATAGGCGCCTGATTTTAAATATTATATAGTCTGATTAGGTGGCGATACTATAGTTATGGATTTTTCTTTTTGTATTGGTAGTATATTGTTTTGGTAAATTGATAAATTTTTTATGAAAAAAAAGCGAACACATATAACATAATGGAAATTAATCCTATTAATAAATATTAAGTCTATTAGTGTTTAGAATATGAATTCTTCAATTTCCATTTTGGTCATCATCCTAATCTACGGTTCAAATGAATTACTATTAGTATTCAACTAATAGACATTTTTTTATGAATTTATTTTTATAATTGTTAAAGTTCGTATTTGAACGATGGATCAGCTAGTCGATCGTAATTCTTTCAAGAAGCTGTCCTATTCAGCACATAACTCGAGGTTGGTACTGGAAATGGAATTTCAATTTCCTGGCCGACGAATGTGTCGCAGGTTTGCACCGTCTAACGAGAGATGCAAATTTCATCCAGCATCGCGACCTGAAACGTAGACTTGTCCCCCTCCCCGCATTTCACGGGAAAGCGTATTTTAAGCCGCATCAAGCGGACCGGGCGAAGCTAAATAATTCATCTGGATGAATTATTTCTGCTCGTGCGACGACGCCCCTTAACGAGCATCGATCTGATCGATCGTCTGCCACATTTACCACCCTTAATTTCATTCGAGAACTATAAGAAACCAACAATCAAACAATAAATGAAAATAAGCAACATTTTTTTATTAGGCTAAGAATAATCAATCTAAATGTAATATCTCCTAAACATGAAATACTGTTCAAATTTTCGAAAATCCAAATTTTGTTTTAACCCTTTGTTAGATTTTTGTGGGATACCATGAATCTTCCCGTTTTTCAATATCTTTATTAGTACCCCACGTCTATATCTATACGTATGTACACGAGGCCTATACCTTCTCGACTACCTTCGTAATTCTCTCCCCACTCACATACATGCGCGCGGCACTCGCGCTTTTTCGCTCCCTTAGGCCTCGTTCGCAACGCTCACCTAACACCCTTGAATAGCGAATTGATTATGACCCAAACTTATACAACGTATCAACAATATTAACTAAAATATAAATTTTTAAAAGAAACGTGTAAAATTAAAAAAATGAAAATAATATGAAATATAAGATATTAAACTAAAATAGGGTTTCTCTCCATGGTCTGCCGGCCCAGGGTCACCTTTTGCTTTACCGTTTTTTAGCTCTAAAATTTCACTCGCTGGTTATTTTTGTACGGAAACTTTTCTTATGTGATACCGAGATGTGAATCTAACAATCTGTTGATCCCGGAAACTTCTTTTTGTTCATTAAATTTTGTTAATGTATGGTTTTTTTCAGAAAAAAATCGATTCTGATAAAATTCGAATGGGAACATATCGATATTTTGACGCTGATTTATGTTTTTGGGGTCACTAATTACGGAACTGAAATCAGATTTTCAAAATTCAAAATGGCGGATTAAAAAATATAAAATGCTGTGAAATTTTTAATATAAGGATTTTTGGGATCGCTGATTACAAATCTGGAATTAGCTTTCCGAAATTCAATATGGCAGATCCAATATGGCTGACCAGGATTTGAAAATATTGCTATCGCTGTGAAATTTTGTATGTGCAGGTTTCTCGGTTTGCTGATCACGACTTCAAAATCTAAATTGAATTTTGAATCTGATTCGAAACTCGTAATCAGCGACCCCATAAACATTTATATTCAAAATTTCACAGAATTAGCGATATTTTCTATCCGTGAAATTTGATAATCTGATTTCAGATTCGTAATTAGCGATCCCAAAAACCCCTTATACAAGTATAATTAGAAAAATTGTTTACACAGAAAAATTTGTGCGTGAAAGAGTTAAATGGAATATTTTCAAAAAGTGAAACAATACTAAAATTTTCCAAAAACAAGATTTTTTATTAGAGCATCAATAATCATCCTAAATGAAATATCTCCCAAAAGTGGAACACTACATAAGTTTTCCAAAAGCAAAAACTAAGTAAAATTAGAAAATAATTTGTTGATTCCTTTCTCCATTGAGATATCCTATTTCTGTTTCATTTATAAGTATGGGATTAAAAAATTAAAAAACAAATTAATTATGTTGTTTTAATATCCAGTTAGTATCTAATGGTCGTATAAGAAGTAAAAACCCTTGAATCGTTCTAATGTTCTCCTTGATATTCGACGACAAGCACGATACCCATTCGTTGGATTGTGAGCTTTCATAAAGGATGAGGTCTCTTCCGAATGTTACGTTCACGCACGCGAGCCCTCATCCTTATCTTCGTCCATTACCTCAACGACAACGTAACCCCGCCCCCGTAGGGAGAAACGTTTTCACGGCTGTCTGCCTGTCGGCAAAAAATGCTGCTCTTTGCATTTTCCCTCTTTCTCCTCGCGAAACACGCTCGCTGGATTCCTCGCTTGGATTTCTGTGAAGTGTGTAACACCACTCGCGACTCACCGCAACCTGAAAGCTAGACGAACCTTTATCTATAATTTCGGTCCATCATAGATGTAATATAGACTTTTATAAGGTTCATCCAAAGCAGGATTCTTCCATTTGGAAATAAAAATGCTGCTTCTGCCGGTTTACGAGGATCGTGTGATGGAAATGATTTCCGTCTAAATCGCTGGCCACTTCCGTCGGGACTCTTTTTAATCCTCGGATTTCGAATTAAATATTTCAGCGGTACAGTGACGCGGTCGCTCGTTTCCCAGGCCGTTTAATCTCAGGCTGACCGTAGTGTCAAATCGATGTGGAATGTAGGTCGAATTCGGCTTACCCGAATTGATTTCTCCGGTTTCTGAATTATTGTTGCTAGTGCGCCTGCACTCAGCCATCCTCCTTCTCTGTTTATCCCTTTTTCTGGATTTAAATTCATTCTCTCGTTAATTGATTGCTATTAATATAAAATGCAGGGAAAACTAAGTAATATATCCACTTTTTATTCTTATCCAAATTAATTTCATGTACCTATGTAGAATAAGGGGGAAACCAGGAATATCACAAAAAAGAAAATGAAGTTTTAATGTTTTGTTCCAAAAATAAAACAATGCTTAACAATAGTGACTCTAACTTACAAAAAGTATACAAAGATACTCAATTAGGGCTCTCCCAGGGGCCTAAACTAGGGTTTATTTAACTGTACCATTAGGCCTCACAATATGTATGTATGATTAATAAAATAATAATTGTTTTATAATAATTTAATTTCCGTTTCAAATCTGAACACGGTATAATACAGAAACAAGATGAAACATTTTTACTTTATTTTCATATTGTTATTAAAACGAGGGAAAGTCATGTATTTTAATAATAGTCGGATACTTTGTTTCTTACTTACTTATTACATATGAGGCAATGTTTCATCAAATTGGCGAATCTTAGAATTGCAACATTTTGTTGGACCTTGATGTGTTCATATTTTGTTTAAAATATCACGAACAAAATATTGCTAGCATTACGCTAGATTAAGTTTGGAAATATTCCTTGATTTGTGTAAATCTTTATTAGGTAAATCTTTAACCCTATTTAATGGAGACAGTTTGAGTTTTATAATTTGTAATTTCACAATTCTGTAATCTCATTTGTCACAAACAAAATTTATTATAAACTGAAAAATTTAAAAAAATTGATATTCCTCATTTTTTCCTTTATCCTTCATATGATTGAAGTATCATCCCTTCATTATGTAGGATATTAAATGCAATGTTCTCCACAAGTTTTTAAACACTTACAAAATACTGTTTTTTTCAATAAAAAATTGAGTTTTCTTAGAGTACAAATCTCATTAACCTTCCTGTTTATTGTTTTGTTTTGCAGCGTGCATTCTGGAACTGGCGGTGGGTCAGCAAGGTCCTGTGTTTGTTTTAGAGCCACCAAGTACCCTGATCTTTTCCAATACCACAGGCTCACAGTTAAGCTGCTCAGCTCATGGGAGTCCAACGCCACACGTCACCTGGATAACCAGTCCAGATCAGAGATCGGTCACCGCTGTACCTGGACTTAGGTAAGACACAATCGAAGTAACGATAAATAAAAAACCTTGAATATTATCAATTATGTCACATTAAAAAAATGTATATAGGTACACGGAACAAATTCGATACACTATTGGGTTTCCTTGACACGATAAAGCTTCTCATAATTCCATTTCAGTTATCGTGCACCGCTCGTAAGATCCGCTTTTTCGGCTGGAAATACGCGACTCGATTCGTAAGAGTGCTCCGCACGATAGAAACGAGTAAAGCGGATTAACGTGTCCGGATTTGAAACTTTCGAGCCGCTGTAAATTGCAGAGTTTCTAACCCGTTGTTTTGTGAAGTAATGGAACTACCAGATCCTAGTTGAAAATAATTATTGATCGCTTTAAGTTGAAAATCACTTTTTCGTAGTGTAATTTGAAAGATATTTTAATCCATGAACGAAGAATTTGTAAGAAGGATTTCTTTTTCTATCTGTATGCCTGACTATATTCGTTGCTATACTGCTTACTTAATACAAAATAAGTTTATTATATAAATCATCTCTATTTTCCTGTTCATAATTCCTCTTTAATTGCTAAAAATGTTTTTTTTTTTTAAAGTTACATTGATTTTTATTTTCCTTTGTCTACGTCTGACTATATTCGTCCTTATACTACTTGTTGGATACAACATAAATTCTTATTATATCTATAAATGATCTCTATCATTCTCTTGATAATTTTTAAATTGTTTAAAAAAATTTCCTTTTTTATAAAGTTATATTGATTTCTATTTTGGTCTCTCTATGCTTGGCTATATTCACTTCTATACTACTTTCTGAATACAAAATACCTGAATTTTAACTACATAAATCATACCTATTGTCATCATTTCTTCACAGATCGTCTCTAATAATCTTGAATTGCCTAAAAATTTTGTTTGTTGCAAAATTATATTAATTTTAATTTTCTGTTCTGTATGTCTGATTATATTTGTTCCTATACTATTTACTGAAAACAAAATAGTCTTATTATAATCCTAGAAATGTTATTACTGAATGAATGTCTTCTATTATTCTCTTAGTAACCTCAAATACCTTTGTTACAATTACACAATTACTTACATAATTAATTGAATCCATTATTTTCCCTAACCCTTTCTCATGTTCACACACGTTCCCATACTACTTCATCTATTGGATTTAAAGCAATTTTCTGTTCCTGTTTTATTGAATACCCATATTGAACAATTAACTAAACAAGGCAATATCTTTTACCGCATAGACTAGTAACAAAACTTTTTTATATTGCTTTTATATTTTATATTTATATTTATTTTATATTTTATATTTATTTATTTTTTATATTTTATAATAGTAACGCTCTCAGAACGAGATATTTCTTAAATTGAAAGCGAGATAATCTCCTCGAAAGTTTGTCATAAACGTAGCAATGGTTTGATCGGAAGTTCCGGGAGTAGAACAACCGCAACCTCGAGATCGCGTAAGATTCGTATTATATTGGAAGTTTGATGTTGTACCCTGGGCAATACCGTAACTGTGGCACCTGAGGAAACTATTTCCTCCCGGTAATTGAAATGTTCCTTATCCAATGGTCGTCCAGTAAGTTTGTTCGCGACCTAACGTTTCACTGTTAAGCGTAAATTCATGTTCCTGATGAATTATCCAGCTCAATAAAATACAATAATAAAAGTGCTTATTTTTAAACTAATAAATACTCCTAATAACTAATAGCTAATAGTAATTACAGATATCTCTCGATTTAATCGTCTTCGAAGGGTTTCAATAAACGATACATTTACCCCTTTCTCTCTTCAACCCTTTTCTATACTCAGACATCAAACAAGCGTACTCTTGAAGTACGGACTCGAGACGAATGACGGAGGTTTCGAAAATACAAAGGAGTTAAAAAAAAATTCGAAGCGAAAGCAACCTTTTTGACTGATTCATCCCCAAACAGGTATCCTTTTCACATTCGATCTTCGCTTTCCATTCAACTATCGTGCCACGTCTTCATTTGCATCCCACGAAATTCGTATCCTGATACACAGCTTCTGATACATCGATCGATTAGGGGTGCAAGAGTACCCTTCAGGGTTTTAGTGTACAAGAGCAAAAGATGGAAAGGGGTGGGTTGGATAAAGTTGGATAAAGTGAAACGAAATCAATAGCAGGATGAACGAAAAATAAATGCAAATGAACGAGGTAAATACAAACTGAGATTAATGGAATTGATGTTCCAAAAGGTTTTGTGAAAATAAGACTTACTATTACAAACATACATTTTATTTCAAATTAGTATTTTGATTTAAATTTGAAATTTAAAGTCAAGGGGGAGGTGTTATTAATTACAGTGTAATTACTCGCTTAACAATTCATTTCACTCACCATTCGAAAATCTTGGATGGTTATAAAAAAATTGTCAAAAAAGTGTCAAATTCGAAAGAATCGACGAGCTTCAATTTACCAATGAAGCTTTAATCGAACACAGGACTCGCTTGTATGTACACATACATATGTACATCCTGTTTCTGATGTGTATTCGTACGCGTGTCTAGCCAGAATGAACGGCTATCGCGCGGCAGGAAATTAAACGTAAAACCCTGAAAAATTGAAAACTCGTGGACTGGAAGCAGACGTCCCTACCATGGCGATTAACCGTGCGAGAGGAATTAGATAGAAGACCGAAACACATTACCTGCACGTCACCTTTATGTTCACTATTTTCTACAATTATTTTATTATTAATGCTTTATATTAACCATTTTATTTTTAATGTCTTTAATAATAATCGAATAATATATTGTACCTGACTAAATACGACTATTTCTACTAAGGAAGTCATTACATCAAATCCATGGAAGAATTTTTAATAAAAATACAAAAAAAAGATTTTTATTAGTGTAGCATTAAACAAAAAATGATTGTGATTAAGAAAAACGTGTTAGTATTTTAGTAATAATACCCTTATGAATAGTGGTGCTACTTTTTCGATTATAAAAATTGTGTTAATTACTTAAAATGTATTTTGAAGTTAGTAAGTTTCTCGAAAGTGACATCAGTATAAATAATAAATAATTACAAAATGAGTAAGCTCACGAAATACACGAATAGATTCGATCGACACGATAGTTACACGATTTAAAAAATTTCGTTAACATAATTCTTCGACTTTGATATCGATCGCGGGGTGATATCGTGCAAATTTCCCCGCGCGTATAATAAATACCAGATAGAATTAAACGATGCGCCGATGTTTACCGGTGAAAATGATTTACATCAACATTTAATGCGTTCGACGCTGTATATCCCTGCCTTGTTTTAAATTCGCTAATTGATAGTAAAATCGGCTTTGCATGAATAAACTTCCGCCAGGGAGAAGTTTCGAACGGTGCGCGATTGAAATGTTGGAAACAGTGCACGAACGAACGAGCTTTCGCATTTACGTTTTGCAGTGTTTCTGCTTTCCGTCGATGTTCGTAATGAATGAAATGACGTATCAATTGTAGTCAAATTTAAAAAGCACCAGAACGTGAATTTCTGGCTATTTATGAATTTTAAATACGCTGGTTGAAATTAATTTGAAATTCTTGTTAGCACGAAAGTCTAAGCATTTTACTGCAAATTTAATATAATCGGTTAATCGAAACAAAGGTATTAAAGAAAATTCGAAGAAGCGTTAATATTATATTCATTTCCTTCGTAGGAAGTGGAAAATGTAAATTGGAAAATGAAAGATAATATTCTAAATAATTACAATTAAAGCACATGATATTGCATATTTCTGTTTTCACAGTTTAATTGAACACTACTTGTCTAATTAATATTGAAAAATTAAAATATGGAAGTATCCTTTCATTTAATTGAAATAATTACTTTTGAAATAATAAAATGCTTTTTAATATCATTTTCCATTAAATAGTATTATTAATTTAGGTATTTTTAATTGATAATGGTCCTATAACATTGTATTGTTGTATAAAGTGTAATAAGAAGGTTGCTAGTTTAAACCTTGGACAGCGGTCCATGAAGAGAGCCACAATTTTAATTTTAATTTAAAATTTATATTATTTTCATTTCCTACATTTCATGTGAAAATTATACATTTCACTTTAGATTAATATCCTTGTTTTAATATGTTTTGTAAGTTCGGGTCACGATTGACCCAGGCTTTACTGTTCGAAGGTTAATTATACACTATGTCTTGAATTTTGCAATTACCTGTTTAATTATATGGCTTGACGAATCACGTAATTTGCGCCAATCCCTTGGACAATTAAATGTCACTTGTCCTATCAGACATGACGTTGTCTGCTTATCTGAATAGATCCATGCATGTTCTACTTGGCTGATCTAATACGGCCATATTCTACTACCTAATTACAGTACTGAGGTATTCTGTTTGGATACGTTCTTAATTCGATCCGTTTATTGTCACTTGGCTGAAACACTATTTATTCTATTTATTTTTTCTATCATTTATTCCACTTGATGCAACTATGGTTGATCTATACCACTTGACTACGTATGGAGATGCTTACTATGCCCCTGACCATGCGTAGTCTTATTCTATTTGTATTTTCATTCTCATTATGAAACAAACGCAGATTTTCATATGATATACAAATCTGTAATTAAAATTCATTCAATTGAAAACCTCTGTGATATTTTTTTCATATTACCAGGTTGTAACAACGGTAAAAAAGAAACTTCGCGAAAACGACGCGGTCTGGAAACGTCCAGACAATTTCGAGAAAAGTCGATGATAGGCTATCGCGGGAGGCAGAGACGCGAGGCGCGAGCGGAGACGTGGAACGCGAGCGCGGAAAACGCCAAAATCATTCTTGACGACGAGATCGTTGATTTCGGGATATAAATTAAGGGCTCGTGACTGCCTCGGCCTATTTTGCCTGCTGTTATTCGAGAGAGAGGACGAGGTAAGACTATCGGCCGCTCTTGGTCGGCAGGCTAGGGAGTACGGCGATAATACCTGGACGCCTGCCGGAGAAGAGAGAGAGAGATCCC